TGATCACCCCCTAACCGCTCCCCTGGTGGTCTGATTAACACCTAACTGCTCTCCTGCCAGCCCAATCACCCCCAACTGCCCTCCCCTGCCAGCCTGATCTCACCCCCAATTGCCCTCCCCTGCTGGCCTAATCTCGCCCCCAACTGCTCTCCTCTGCTGGCCAATTTGGTTCTGATTGGTTGGTTTCTATGCCAGTCAGCGTTAAAAGCTCCGCCTCCTAGGCAGCCATTGGCTTCTCACCCTTCACCCAGATTTGGTTCTGATTGTCGGTTTCGATGCCAGTCAGTGTCTCTGAGCCTATCAACGGGTCTGATCAGCAGCCTGGGTGGAGGCCTGGAGAGAAACAGCGGCTTGGCTGCTGGAGAGAAAGAGAGAGGCAAGAGCTGATCAACAGCTGCCACAGAGGCTATGGATCAGACCCTGCTTCTCTCTTCAGGCCTCTCTCCGGGCCTGATTCGCAGCTCCCTCAGAAGTCAGTGCTGGGTCGCCACAGCAACCCAGCGCTGACTGCAGGAGTGCCTTCCGGTTGGTCGAACCTCTGGTGGTGCCGGACCCAGGGTTTTTATATATTAGGATTTTTTCTTTCCTCTTTTATTCCCTTATCATGTAACATAACATACTTAAGTATTGTTAATTTTAATCATAATATTTAAATTACAGGATATCAAGGAGAAGAGTAAACATCCTTCAAGGACTTGACTTCTCTGGGGAAAGGGTTAGTTTTTCTTGTTGTATGCAGGTTAGGTAGAATTATGATCTTATAGTCTTTATTTGGAGATCAAATATGATTTTGAGAAGTATATGGGTGCCTAGTTGATAAGGGGTGGGTTGTGATAGTTAATTTTATGTCATCTTGACTGGGCCACAAGATGCCCAGATATTTGGTTAAATATTACCCCATGGTGTGTCTGTAAGGATGTTTCTGACTGAGATTAACATTTGACTAAGTAGACTGAATAAAGCAGATTGCCATGTACACCCCCACACACAATGGACTAATGGACTATAATTAGCCGGATACTGAACTGGACCTGGCTGCAACTTGGAATGGAAACTCTGAACACTGGCTTTGTTTTTAGCTCTACTGAAACCCCAACTAAACTTCTATGACTAGAATGGGACTTTAGAAACAGATGTAATTGCACACAAATAAAAATCACTCAGTCTCCTATTCGAGTCTCAGAAAATTCCAGCACTCAATGGGGGAAGGAATACCTCATCTTTCCCAAAACAATAGTTCTTTCTAATCTACACAATAAATTTGATGCTATAGGGCAGTGGTCGGCAAACTGCGGCTCGCGAGCCACATGCGGCTCTTTGGCCCCTTGAGTGTAGCCACAAAGTTTCAATCGCACTGTACATGCGTGCCCCCGCACGTGGTATTTTGTGGAAGAGCCACACTCAAGGGGCCGCAGTTTGCCGACCACTGTTATAGGGTGACATAAATACCATAAGGGAAAGTTAATCTCATAATAGAACTGTTTCAGTTGGCCAACTCTAACCTGCTTTTGGAAATGCTTTTTCTCCTTGCCAATCACAAACACACACAATTTTCGCCTAATACTTGTTTAAACTTTTATGGCTTCATTACTTTACCTATAAAATGAAACTATTAGCATCTATTTCTAAAAGTCTGTTTTGAGAACTAAGGATTAAGTATAATATATTGTTTCAGGCAAATAGAGGGTGTTTAATAACTAATAATTTCCTATCTGAGCTTTTTCTTTCATCCCCATCACTTGACTACCATTCCCAGATGTATGTTTATAAAACCATTTAATTAGCAATTGAGGTCTTAGACTAAATCCTTACACAAAATCTTAAAGCCGGTAGGATAGCACCTACTAATCCAATCATTAGCAGCAAGGCATACTATAGTAAAACCTTCCCACAGACTTCTGTGGTGAAGACCTGGGGAGGGGGGAGTAAGGGCTCGGAGGAGAGGGGGAAGGGGAGAAAATGGGGGATATCTGTAATACTATTAACAATAAAAAATATATTAAAAAAAAGAGTAAAAAAAGTTGAACAGGAATATGGTACTGTTATATAAATTTTAGTTATGTTATCAAATAAATTATTTAAAGTAGACCACTTCCAATTGAAATCTTATAATCATAACAGAACATAGTATATAATTTTTTTACTAATGGCAAAAGAAGGAAACATGTTTTGAATACTTTGGCATAAAAACCTACTAAATATTTTGTTTATGCATCTATCACTCAAGAAGTACTTTAAAAATACTGAGTCACCGCCTGGCCTGTGGGGAGGCAGAGGGCATGGAAGGGGGGGGGGGGGCACCAACTGATATCTCTTTCTCCCTCCCTCCACCCCATCCATTTTCTCTAAAAATCAATGGAAAAAAATATCCTTGGGTGATATCCTCAACAGAAATACTGAGTCACAGTCCTTTTGGAAGCCTGATAGTATGAAATATGTTATCTGTATTATATAGATAGAAAAACTGCACTTTGTGTCTCTCACACATCTTATTTTACAACATTCAGTTTCTGAAGACATAATATTAACAGAAATGGGGAAATGTTGTTGATGATTCAGAGAATTCGTCAAGTTTTTAACTAACCAATATTTTTTTCCTATCTGCTTTGGAGTAATCACTTCTTCAACTACTCTTGTTCACCAATCCTCGTTTATCCTCAATTGGCTCCAATTTTTTTCTGCTACATTTCAAATCCACATACTCATTCCTCTTAATGCTTTAATTTATTTATTTTTATTTATTTTTTGTTTTTAGAGAGAGTGGAAGAGAGAGGGAAAGACAAAGAGAAACATGGATGTGAGAGAAACACACCGATTGGTTGCCTCCTGCACGAGCCCCGACCAGGGCTCAGGTCAGGGAGGAGCCTGCAACCAAGGTATGTGCCCTTATTAGAATTGAACCTGGTACCCGTTGGTCTGCAGGCCGACGCTCTACCCACTGAGCCAAACAGGCTAGGGCTTAATGCTTTAATTTCTACATTATTTTGGTCTTCTTTTTTTAAAATATATTTTTATTGATTTTATGCCGGGAGCCGGTCCATCCTTGCTGTTTCAAGGGACCTGGCATATTTGGCATACTGTTCTTAATATGTTTGCTCACCTTCTTGGTACTATGTGTTTTAACCAAAGTCACCTCTCTGAGAAAGGTTGTTTCCCCAGGTAGGGATTTTCCCCTGAAGTTAGGGAGGGAATAAAACCCCTTAACTAAGTGCCAGGCGGGTAATTAATCACTTTAACTACGAACAATCATGCTTAAGCTACATAATCTTTACTCCCTGGAATGGAGATAAGAAATGCCCTAACCTTTGGAATAGAGATTGATAGGATTGGAATCAACTGGTATAAATACAGATGTAACAAGACAACAGGACACAGAACCTAGACACAGAACCTACACAGAACCTAGAGACAGAAGAACTTCACTGGAGAGAACATGGCAAAAGATCCTGGACAGAAACTGGAGACAGAACCTAGAGACAGAACCTAGCGAGAGAACATGGCTGAAGAACCTAGAGACAGAACCTGGCTACAGAGCCTGGATAGAACATGGCAAGAGAACCTGACTAGACCCTGGTGACTGAACCTGGCTGGAGAACCTGGACAGAACCTGGCTGGAGAACCTAGCAAGGGAACATGGCTACAGAACCTGGCTGGAGAACCTAGCAAGAGAACATGGACACAGAACCTGGCTGGAAATCCTAACCAGAACTTCGCTGGAGATCCTGAGCAGAACTTGGCTAGAGATTCTGGCTAGGCTGCTGATCAACTGAACGCTGTCTCCGTGTCATTCCTTCTTCGCGGACTCCGTCCACACCTTTGGGGACCCCTGGACCTGCTGGGGTTGGACCCCCAGCAATTTTAGAGATGAAGGGAGAGGGGGAGACAGAAACATCAATGATGAGAATCACTGATCAGCTACCTCCTGCCCACCCCCTACTGGGGATCAAGCCTGTAACCGAAGCATGTGCCCTGACCAGAATCGAACCTGTTTCATAGGTCAAGGCTCAACCATGCTATTTTTGTCTTTTAATGTGGCACCATTCCCAATAAAGTCAAACTTTTCACTGCAGTTTTACCTTCCATCTATTTGAAAAGGAAAAGTTCCTTAGCTACTCCAGTGCTCTTGCACGATTGCCTTTTAAATCCATCAATTTTTTCATCTTTTATCTTCAATCTCTTCCCACAAATTTAGCCTCATTTCCTCTGCCTGGCTCCTAACTCTTTCAACTATTCTTTTTAAGATTATCCTACTTGATGTGTTAAATATATCGGCGTAATCACTTTGTAAACAACACAAAACCCACTCAAAATGGCACTTAGCAAAGTAATCAACTTACAATTTTGTTCATTGTTCTATTGGACATATAAAACAAACCATTTATTTAACGCTGTGTCCACTTTGCAGGCCATGAATGTCTGAGTTCACAACTATGACAGGCCAACGCTGTACAGGGTTATAATTAGGGAATGTTTTCCAACATAAAGGCCTCTGATTAAGGCCAGAGTTCTTACTGTGAATCTCTGGACTTTAACTTGAAAGAGTACAAGCATGACGACTGTATCTGTTCTTCCTTATTATAAACTGTCTTCAATGTCAGCATATACATATGTTAAATAATGTGAAATTTTCAACTAATTTTCTATTTCAAAGTTCTCTTTACTATGACGCAGGTATATAGAGGGTGTCCCCCCAAAATGTATACACACTTTACAAGGTGATAGCTCCATTTTGAAAATGGCATGTGTTTTAATAAACACTGCCTTTATAATTATTCCAAGTGTGTGTGTACATTTGGGGGGGGGGGGTGCCCTACATAAACCCATCTTTCATTTTCTCAGCTGTCATTTTCCAGGAACTCTCCTCCCACTTTTTAGACAGCTTATCAGTCTTCCATATGCCACAAAAGCTCGCTAAAAAAGTATCTGCTGGCCAAGGCTTGATAAAACAAACTCTACTGATCCTGACGCATAATAGAGCCGCGGGGGCAAGTAGTGTTTACTTTATTAACCACGAAGGAGAAGAAAAGCACTCGCATTCGTAGGAACCCTCGCTCATTTCTTGATGGATGAGCCAAGTCCATAAACGATTTCTCCTCCATTTGAGTTTTAAGGCGTTTGTTTTTTTTTCCTTCTTTCTCCCCAAGTGCTTGAGTTTCCAAAACTTTGTCCTTCACAACATTTTACATAAACAGCAATTTCTCGGGCTTCCACGAGTAACCTGACCCGGAAAGAACCTGCAGAGATGGGAAGGTGGGAATCCTAAAGCCGAGGCCGCCGCCGCCGCCGCCGCCGCTTCGGGCCCTCCGTCCGGAAAGGTGCCTGTGACTCGACACGCGATCCCCAGTGACGCGAGCGTCGCCCGGCGACTCCACAGGAGGCGGCCGCGCGTGCGCAGGAGCGAAGGGGCGGGGCGGGGCGGGGCGGGGCCGGGCGCAGCCGGGAGGGTGAGGCTAGTGGGGCGCAGGAGTGGCGGAGGAGGGAAGGGAAGGATTGGGGCGGAGCGGAGGGGCGGAGGGGCGGAGGGGCGGAGGGGCGGAGGGGCGGGCCCTTCCCCAGATATTTACTCCGTCATTTCCTGTTTGGGGACCTTCTGAATCCGGGTCAAGGGTGTTCGCCTTCTCTTCCCGGCTGATCCGGCGGCACCATCGGTGACAGCGGCTCCAGGCTCTACCCAGGGCCCGTCTCCTCTCAACACCGGCTGGAGCCCGAACGTCCACACCTGTCCCGTGTCGCGGAGGCGCGCTTTCTCCACCTGCCGGCTCGCAACCCCGCATCCTAAGCGCCCGCCGCTGCCGGGGGGCCTCCGCTGGCGCCTCCGAGCTGATGCTGAGAAGGACCGCGGTCCCGGGGCGGCGGCGGCGGCGTGCGGGCCTCCGGCTCCCTAGGCCCGCCGCGGGCGGTGCTGGTTCTCTCGCGCCCCCCGCTTGCCAACTCCCGCCCGCGCTTGCATGGGCCCCCCTGCCCGATGAATGTGGCTGCTGAGGCGGCGGTGGCGGTGGTCGATCCCGCTGCTGCCGCGCTCCAAGTTCACCTCCGCCCCGGGGTCCTCCCGCCCCACCTCGGGGCTGTCTCCGCCGGTTCCCTGCCCCTCGGCCTCGCGGCGTGGCGACCATGGACAAGATCCTGGAGGGCCTGGTGAGTTCTTCCTACCCGCTGCCGGTGAAGCGGGTGATCGTGCGGAAGGTGGTGGAATCGGCTGAGCACTGGCAGGACGAGGCGCAGTGCCAGGCCATGTTTGACCTGACCACCCGGCTCATCTTGGAGGGCCAGGACCCCTTTCAGCGGCAGGTGGGGCACCAGGTGCTGGAGGCCTACGCCCGCTACCACCGGCCCGAGTTCGAGTCCTTCTTCAACAAGACGCGCGTGTTGGGCCTCCTCCAGCAGGGCTACCATTCGCTGGACAGGAAGGATGTCGCCATCCTGGACTACATCCACAACGGCCTGAGGCTCATCATGAGCTGCCCCTCGGTGCTGGACCTCTTTAGCCTGCTGCAGGTGGAGGTGCTGCGGCTGGTGTGTGAGAGGCCGGAGCCGCCGCTGTGCGCCCGGCTGAGCGACCTCCTGAGCGACTTCGTGCAGTGCATCCCCAAGGGGAAGCTGTCCATCACCTTCTGTCAACAGCTGGTTCGAACCATAGGCCACTTCCAGTGCCAGTCCACCCAGGAGAAAGAGCTGCGGGAATATGTCGCCCAGGTGACAAAGGTGAGCGGCTTGCTGCAGAACATCTGGAAGGCTGAGCCCTCCACACTGCTGCCTTCCCTGCAAGAAATTTTTGCAATCATCTCTTCCACAGGTAAGGGTCATTGTATCCCAAGAAAAATCTCTTTGGGAAATTCAGTCTGTCTCCCTCACACACACACACACACACACCCACCATGTTTGCTTCCCTACCCTGAAAATATTGTTAATGGAGAACAGATCTTAGTGCCTCATCCAAAATTTTATTCCCATCCACTATCCTCTTCAGGCTGTCGTTTCTATCTTAAAAAGCAGGCCGTGTTTTTTATTTTAAACGCTGAGCACTTGGAGGTCTAAGACCATTGGCACTAAACAAGTTGCTTAATTACCCAGCCTCTGCTCTAGTTATGAAATGCTTTGGGGATGACAGCTACTAAATAAAGCTTCTATTCGTTAGTGACTAATGGTAGCCTAGTAATGTTTACCATATTATTATTGCACTGTAACCCTATTATTTTGTTATCATGAGCCTCCCTCCCCCCCTTTTTTTTATGATTTCAGAGAGGAAGGGAAAGGGGTAGAGAGAAACATCAATGATGAGAGAATCCTTGATTGGCTGCCTTCTGCACACCCCCTCCTGGGGATGGAGCCTGCAAACCTGGGCATCTGCCCTGACTGGGAATCAAACCTTGACCTCCTGGTTCTTAGGTCGATGTTCGATGTTCAACCACTGAGCCTCACCAGCCTGGCTCCCCTGTTTTTTAATTTTCCCATTTTTTAAAATTCATGGTCTGTGCAGTTTGTTTTATTACTGGCTTGTCCTAGTTAACTGTAGTTTTTGAGTGTTGACATTTTCTGTCCACAACAGTGTTCCTGAGAGAGATTCAGAGAAGGGAAAGAATATGAGGACCTAATGGGTGTTTTTTCCCTTGGAGGATAGCCCATGAACTGCATCCTTAGAAAGCAGGGAGGGGTCCAGTGACACTTAGCAAGAAAATGCTTTGTCATCCAGGAATTTTACCTGTGCATTTTACCTGAACTTGGAGCTTCTAGCTCTGTAGGTTGTGGGACAGTAGATCCAAAACATTGTTCACTTCCTCTCTACGTGGTACAACCATTCTCCCTGGCAATTGTTGGGATTCAACTTGTGAAGGAGGTGTCCTCTTTTATCCTGAGAACCAGAAGAGTAGAATTTTAACAAGCTCCATGCAGTCTGATGAATTAAATAAATTTATAAACAAATTACCAATTTTGTATTTGCAGGATCTGAGTTGGTTTATTTTTTTTTAATGGTAATCTTTCTTATATTGCCTGTGTTGCTAGAGTTGTTATATTTCCCCTGAACTTTTTCAACTGTAGCAATAAAGATGTTCACCTTGGGTTTGCTTAATTTTTATATGGTTTAAGTAAAATTCCCCTCTCCCCAAATTTCCACTTCTTTAAGAGATTTTTTTAAAATATATTTTTATTGATTTCAAAGAGGAAGGGACAGGGAGAGGTGAAAACATCAATGATGAGAAAGAATCATTGATCGGCTGCCTCCTGCACGCCCCCAATGGGGATCAAGCCCACAACTGGGCATGTGCCCTTGACTGGAATCGAACCCAGGACCCTTCAGTCCACAGGCCAATGCTCTACCCATTGAGCCAAACTGGCTAGGGCTTTAAGAGATTTTTAAATATCTTACTTAGAACACTTTACAGACTACTGTAATTAATAAGCTATAAGTTACTTTGGAGAATCTAACCTGGGAATTTAAATCTTACATTTCTGCTTTTTAAGTGAATATTTTAGCTCGACAAAGACAATATTAAAAAGTGCAAGAAAATAAAGTCACTCATGGGCCAAATATGGCAATAGTTTTTATATTGCAGTAGTTCTGTCTATAGAATGAGCAATCATTGTAATTTTTAATCTCTAATTTCTGTAATGTAACATTCCTTTTATGTGACGAGTGCCCATGAGGTGGAGCTTGACAACTGTTTTCTGATTAACACCTTTGCTGCAATTACTTTTTTTTGGTTAATTGTTCTCTCTCAATACTTCACTTGAACCTTCTTGCCATATCCCTTTTTCTTTTTAATTAAAAAAAATAGATGCATCATTTGAACCTTCTGTAGCATTGGCAAGCCTTGTGCAGCATATTCCTCTTCAGATGATTACAGTTCTCATCAGGAGCCTTACTACGGATCCAAATGTCAAAGATGCAAGTATGACCCAAGCTTTTTGCAGGTACTTCTTCATGACACTATAGATGGTAACTGTAGATTTGGGAGGAGGAGATATTTTGTTATATTTTTGTCAGTAATGAAAAACTTAGAAATGTTTAAAACTGAAATCGTGGAATCAAATATATAAAAATTCTCCAAATTAATTGGGATGTATTGTTTACCTTACTATAGGCTTGACAGGCATCCCAGTAATTCACAAATCCATTTTTATTTCAGCTTTTTAATTTTCAAAAACATACATACATTTACACATATTGTACAGGCGGGAGTTTTTTGAATTATTAATGTATTTTACTAGTTTCTTTGCTCATTGTTTCTTGCTACCTGTTTCTTCCCTCTGGGATCTTTTTTTTCTTCTAGCTAAGTATATACTTTTACTGTCTCTTTCAATCAGGATTTCTGAGTAATACACTGTCAGCATTTGTCTGTTTAAAATGTGGAGTTTTTTTCCCTTATTTTCTTCCTTACTATTCAGTAGCTAGTCCTTTGATACCATACTATTAGGATCTTCTTCATATCTCTTTTTATTTACGTTTCCCTTTATTCTTATCACTTTATCAATTCTCATTTATATGTGGTTGAGTTTCAAGTCTTTATGTAAAGTCCTCATTGTTCATTTACTTTTAAGAAACACTTTTTATCTCCTCCATCTCCACAGAGACACTCCTTCTGTGTCCTATTTGGCAGCAACACTCTTGCCAGTGTGACTGCAGCAGCACTAAAATTTCTTTCTTTTTGAAATGAATATATCATAAATGAAGTTGTCTTCTAAGTAAAATAGGAAGATGCAGAGAAATACAGATTTCACAAGTGAAAGTGAAATCAGAAATCGGTTGGTCCCTCACCTTCATTGCCTAAGTGAGAATAGCTTACATTTTCATTTCATGCCATAACATTGCAACAGAGTCTTCTGGTTGGTCTTTTTGCCAGCAGTGACTTTATCTCTCTTCTCTAAGTCAGCCTGACCTACTCATTTTACCCTTCTGATCAAACTACAGTGACTTTCACCACTTACTAAGTCAAGTGCAAATTCCACTTCTTCCCATTCAGCACTCCTGGTCTTAATTTTTCAAAACTACCATAATATCCATCTTATGATTTTATTTTGTTTTTAAAATATATTTGGAAATTAATTTTTACCTATGGGAGGTTGTGATCCAATTTTTGTATTGCATTTCTAATTTACCTACATAAAGCTATTTAACCCATAATCTACCTGGAGTAATTATTCTTATATTACAAATGTTATTGAAAAGGATAGCAGTGTTTATTTTACCATACTTCCCTATACTCTATATTTTTCCACATATTAGCACTTATATTTTACTGTCATTTTCTGTAATGCAAAGAAATGCAAATGTTCCATTAGACATTATGAGCAGCCTCAGCCCTGACTGGTGTGGCTCAGTTGGTTTCTGGTTAGATACATCAAAAGGTCTCCATTTCAATTCCCGGTCAAGAGCACA